GGCAGCAAGAATAAAATAATTCTCCGTTTCATTGATAGAAAGATCTCGAATCAGTTTATTACATCTCTAGTCGAATTAGTACGGAAACAAATGAAAATGAAGCGAATGGAAACCTCGTCATATCTAATACTCTTTTTTTACCAACGTTTGGGCAGGAAAAACAACTCAGAAAACCGGTAATGATAGGAAATGGTTACAGTATGTACATCGTGACAAGAAGTAAGAAACCATGACGTCACTGAGACGAGCCAGTGTTTTTACACAAACGTAGAAAAATGTGCGCGAAAAAAATAAATCAACCACATCGGGATATGGCGGAGCAGCTCGAACGCATTGTGCAGGCTCATTGGTGAGCTACTTGTTCGATAGCGGTAAAGAAGAGAGCGGAGCTCCAATGAGAGAATGTGCTAATATTGCCTGGTCTGCGCGCGCCCATATGATCAGCTGGACTTTGGGACTTGAATGTTAAGCTGAACATGCACATCAGCTGTACTCGTTGCCAGCGGGACGTTTACGGGCACAGATAACAAACATGTCGTTGACTTCATACAGTATACATTTACGGTCATCTTCAACACGAATTCCAGCTTCCTCAAGGGCACTGAGCATCTGTTCTTTAGTTATGTATAGGCAAGTGAACACACTCGCCCACCGAAAGCACACCACGTCTCCTCAAGGATACCACCCATGACGAGGAACCCTAAAAATGGAAGTTTGATCAAGAAGAAATCAGGAAAAGTTCTACAGGTACACAAGTGGGTGCACTGCGAACGGGGAAGTGGGGATTCTGCCGCTTACCGTAGCGAGGCGGCATGACGCGTAATATGAGCGTTGCACTAGCTGTGTTACGACTGCGTAGGCGATGGAGGGGCGTCTCCAAGCCGGCCACTCAGCGCGGGCGAGCTAGCCCTGCCCACGACTGAATCGGCACATACCCCCGTCCGCAGGCTTCTGAGCGTGGATACGCCCTCTCCAAAGCTGAGATATCTAGCCCGCAAATTCAAAAATGTTTAACTAGGGTCTTATTTCTTCAGTTGAGTGCTAGGCGTGCGAGACCACGATAGAACGCTCTCCAGGAAAAGCTGGAATGATTATAAGTAGAATGGGAGAGAGGGTCGTACCAGGAACAATTAGGAAAAGCAGTCGCACTTTGCAAAAAATTTCCAACAAAGCTTTTGGCCCAAGCCACTTCAAGTACGCCATAGAGCGACAAGAAATACAGGCTTCAATTGAATTCACCCCCGTAGGATTTGTTGGTGCAGTTCGGCTCGGTGGGGGCACCTTATGGTGATGAGCGAAACTCGCACAGGTCACTCTGTGAGGACCTGCAATTTTCTGTAACCAAAGCTGCTCACTTGTACCATTTCGCAACTTGACAAGAGTTTACAAGTATAACCAAAACGATACTCAGCGTGAACTAGCAAAAAAAGTGACGAAAGTGCAAAATGACCCTCCAAGCCGAACAGGGTCAGATTCGAGCTTTGGGCTTACGAATTTTGCTATGCATGGCCCATATATGACCCTTAGTCTCAAACATCCGATCTCTTTGGAGAGGGCGTACCATCTTTAAATGAAAAAGGAACTCAAATAAAAGACACCTCCTGGTCTTATCTGATCCGCTATATTTTTGATGGCATTTTTGTATTCATCATAGTTTTTACAGCAGTACTCCACACAGAATATTGTGACAACTACCTAAATGAAAAAGCATCAGAAATCGTGATCACTGCTTAGTAGAAGGGATTACGAACGTAACAGAGCGCGTAAAACTCACATCAAAATTCCCTTGTAGCTCTGCTGGTACATCGACGGATGGTTTGGCAAAACAATCGCAATGGTAAACCCCTCGAACCTATAAGAAATACGGTATATTGCTTGTGATATGCTGGAAATAATTTGAGACGGAAGCGGTGTAGTGGCACGTGGCAGGCTCACCACGTGCACGGTCTGGCGATCAGCCCCTGCTCGGCTTTCAATCAGGGCAACCAAGCATCCTACCCTCTGGAAACGGTGAACTGGTTCGTCATGCTACCGGCTCTCCGTCAGGGAAGATAAGAACACTGGATCGCATCCAATAGGCCACTGCGATTCTGAACGGAGGTAGGATGCGTGCCGCATACCAAAAACTTTACCCTTATTCTTATTATATTGGGATTTACAATTCGAAATAGTCACTCGCCCCCCCCGCGCTCAATATTTATTCGAAGTATAGTGCGGACTTTTTCAACCACACCTGCC